TGTTTGTTTTGATGTGTGTAAATAAACACCAGTACTTGAAGTTTGGATCCCTCCATGTTTACAGACCTATGACAAAAGTATGAGCTCAAACTGACATAGCCTATCTTGTGCACAGAGAAAGCAAAAGCCAGATGTGTTTTTTATTCATACCATCAGTGTTTAGTTGGTGCATTGTGTGCTTATTAATCTGATGGCTTGTGTTAACTGTTGGATACGAAAATACCATTTTTACAAAGGTGTGGAGAGTTAGGCAAGGGTTATTCACTTTTGCAAGAAAACTACAATGTTTTGCTGATTGGGTGAAGAGTTTTCTTATTTGTGTGTAGAGTTTTGCAAAAATAGCCAATAGTTACAAAAAATGTGCTTAAGCCATCAGAAAAAATTGTAAATGAAAAATCACACCAACCCCTGTGGTGTGGGTTCTGTTACTGTGGAGGGACTAGTTTCATTGGTTTTGTTCCACTGGCTCCTTAGAGTGAAGGATGCAAATCAGTAAGTTGATCTGAATGACTGCTTTAATCCTGTAATGAATGATTTCTATCCTGAAGAAAGTGGCCATCCATACGAAATTGGGAGCGACTAAATAGTTTCTGAGTACTCAAACAAAAGGTTCTCAGCTCACTTGAACACTTGAGACCTCTTGTTTTCAAGCTGTTGTGGCAGCATGTGTCCAAACAGACTTACTATATTTAATGTCAAATTTATTAGTCATTATCATTTTAGACCTGTAGAGCGTAATCAGGCCTCGATCCCAAAAGCCCTATGGATTGTACCTCTCTGAACAAGACATACTGACTATCCTTTAGTATTTTCAGTGAAACTGCAGGGATACCGATGGCTGGTGCTTTAACCAACTGTTGAGTGTTCTATACCTCCAGCTGGACAAAGCAGTGCATTTGCTGCATGGCAGTGCTGTAGATGACAGGCTTCTACTCCTTTACCAGGAGCATGTGGCCTAATTTGCCTATCTTGAATTCACAGTGGTCATCCCTTCCCTCATGGTTATGGGGAAGGGATGACCTTAGCTGCTTTACTGCAGCTAAGGTCTGATCATTGATAGAGGCATTACTATACTGTTTTGTGCACAGGAAAATGGAAGGCAGAGGATTAAATGGAAAAGCAAGCTTTAACTGTGTGGTCGCGAATTTTGAAGCCATCCTGATAACCTTCTCCCACCAACAATGTGGAGATCCAACCTCTTTAGATCCAATTAAAATCAAGACACTGAAAAAGATGCTCTGGACAAGAGTAGAATTCTTGGAACAGAGTTTAATACACTGAATCATATGAACAGCAGGAAAAATACATACAGACATTTAGCAAGAGAATTACATAGCAGAAAGCAAGCAAAGCAAAACCCTGGGGTATACAGCCTTAAGCACAGACAACAGAGCAACACAGAGACGGACAGAGAGTAACAGCAGAGGGGAAAAAAGTGCTGGGGGTGTCCTCTGGTCCTCTAATATACAGGGACCAGTATCCTGCTGCTGAGTAACTTTTCCACCCGTCCAAACACAGCTGTAGGGGTCAGATAGCTGCCAAGGTCTTGGCCAAAGGCCAGTCAGGACTCTAACTACCCCTTGCTCTGGCTTATCACAATAAGTCATGACACGGTCAAACATCGCACATTAATCCTAATTATTAAATCTTACACAGCAAGTGGCACAATCTTATAATATATAATCTTATAACTACATAGGTTACGCTTAAGCCACTTCAGTATAGTTCAAAGTATGTGTGTGTGTGTGTGTGTGTGTGTGTGTGTGTGTGTGTGTGTGTGTGTGTGTGTGTGTGTGT